CAAACAAACAAAATCAATTCGGCGCGCTCACTCACCCTGCTCGCTGAACGCGCCGCTGTAGGTCGGTTCGAGCGTCCCCGAGCCCGCTCCCCCCGGCGGGCCCGGGCGCGGCATCATGGGGCCGGAGCCCGAGGGACTGCCGGTGGACGAGGAGACGGGCGAGCCCTCCGACTCCTTGTAGAGAATCACCTTGTCGCGCTGAATCACGTACACCGATATGCCCGGCGGCTTGTAGCGCACGCAGTACGCGCCCGTGCTCGACGACTTGCCGCGCCTGGGGGGATTGAGGTGAGGCGCGCGGAAACGAGGGACGGGTTTACGTGTCGAGAATGCATGTGCAACGGAGGGGCTTGGCATGTTTAGTGAGGGCGAATGGTGGCCGAATGTTTGAGAATGCATGCAGTTCCTTAAGAAGGGATGCGAGCGCGAGAGCGAGCGCCAAAGAGTGTGCTGGTGCGAAAAAAAAGGTTGGCGGCTGAGTGGTTGGTAGCTATTTGTAGCTAACTAGCTGGCCGGTTGGTCCTTAGTGCTGGTACATTGTAGGTGACTGATCGCCTGGGTACTTACATGCTGAACATGCCTCTGGCGTTGGTTCCAATAACAAGCGACGTCGCTTTAAGCTTCTTCGATTCCTCCACAATGCCCTTTTCCCGCGAATTATTACGACCGACCTTCAGCTCCAGCTTGATCTGGCGCGGACAGCAAGGCGAAGAGGTACACGGGCAATGTTTCCAACGACAGTGTATATCGAGAAAAATGAATTCGAGAAAATCACAAGCGGCAGCATCGTGGGCTGCGCTGCGCGACTCACCTTGGGATCGACGACCTTCTTGAGCGACAGCATCATGGGCTGCACGATGGTGCGTACGTAGTGCACGAACATGGTGTTGTTGACCTCGCTCTGGTACATCTCCGCGCCTGGAACGTGCAATGGGGGCAACAGATAACAATAAAGAAGAGGAGCAGCAATCAATCATGGGGACATTAACAGCCATCATCGAACATCACTGGACAACAATCAGACATCACCAGCCAATCCCGGTGTTAACTAATTAGGTTCAACAGAAGACAGCGTAGAAAACGAGGCGAGAGAGGAGACGCGCGGAAGAAAGAGAGGGCTGCAACAGCGCAGAGTTGAAGGTTTGCGCTCGTTACGCACCTGCTCCACCGCGAGCCCCGCTTCCATACGTTCCCATGCCTGTCAGGACAATGAGGACAATCAAGGCAATCAGGACGAGCAGACAATCACGGAAATCATCAAGCCAGCATTGTTGTTTGAAAAAAAGCATTGTCCGTGACGAAATTGAAACGTTCATTCTTCGGATGGCTTTTGACAAATTGCATTGGCAACGTCCGAAAGAAGATTGCTTTCGCGATGAAAGCACGTGTCCAGGAGCAGGGAAAACACCGCCGAATACGACACAGAATAGAGCACCACTCACTCGGGCTAGGAATCTTAGTGACCACGTGAAGCAGGATAAGGATGTCATCGGGACTCCTTAGCTTATTCGTGATGGCCCACTTAATCGCGTCCTTACACGAGGGGTCTTTGCTCACTCCTACAACTACTCGCTCGCCGCTAAACTCGAACCCATCCCCCGGAGCCATCGCAGGATAAAGCACACGGGCAGAACTACGGTTCTACGTGGAACGACTAGGAGCTCTGCATCTAAAGATGGATATAGATAAGTAATTTAACGATGCTTACGCCAGGAGGCACACTCAGAGGCTAATGTTTGAATAAAATAACTAATTAAGCTATGACGTAAGGTAATGGCACAATAATACCTCGCAAGAAAAAGCAGAAGGACAACCGTAATAATCCGTGAGGCAAGGTACCATCAGCGTACTAATAAAGCAGAAACCTTTGCCTGGTGGTGGATCATGTCTTTTGTGTGTGAGAGAAGCGAGAATTGGATGATGCTGAAAAGGAAGCGGAGCTCTCAAGGGAAGGTGTTGTGATGAGAAGGAAACGGGGTGCTTGGTGGTGGGATGCGGTGTTATGGGATGGGGCCACTTAATGGAGAGATCATGGCTTCCGCTTCTTTCCGCGACCAGCACTTATTGGTGCTGGATGGCACTCTATCGAGGGATCTCCCCACCAGCCTACCAAGCTACAGAATGCTCCCGCCGTGCGTCATCAGCTTCATTCCGGACCGGATGATGGTTGCAGCCGTGTGATTCGTGGAATTGGATGTTTGACCAGTCAGAGTGTCCGAAGGACAGGTACGAAATATCTTATTCCAGAGGGGTGGTGGTCGGTAAGCACACGCCTTTTCAAACTGCCCCACAAAAAATCATGGCCACGTGTTTGATCCGAAGTGGCTGCAGAACAGAAAACTGTTTCTTTGGATTTCGTTGCATACAATCACCAAATGCTTACCAGCAGAAGCGATGCTATATATTTTCTGGTCTATGCTTCCGTGTAGTGAAGCTTCCAAAAAGGACTGATGCTAACACCGAAGACGATTTGAACCATACCGAAGTCCCGATGCCCCAGTGTTGACTCAGATATGCTCTGCGAGAATTCACATTGTCCGTTGGATCACGATGATCTCTAGGGCAATGCTGTGGGTGTCAGATCAGAAATTTCATGCACTTCCGCAATCTCCCCCCCAATTGCTCTGGCCGCAGCCAATCCGTTGGAGCAGCAGCCCAGCCTTCAACTGCGCTCCGCGAAACCCTCGAATTTGCGCACATTCAGTGGTGTGTCAGGCTTTTGGGGGGAGTGTACCCACAAGCCCGCAAAATCCCCAGCGGGGACCGTTAACTTGAACGTGAACGGCGAAATTCGCGAATTTCTGAAGTCTATCGTCCCGTAGAAATACTGCTTCGTTCTCACAAGCGAAACGACCAACACGTTGCCAAAGCTATTTCGCATGACGGACCTGGATGTCGCCAGTGGACCGTTTGTCTGAAATCATGCGCGCTCGCGGAAAAGCGCGGGTACGAATCTTGTCGGCGGTGCTTCCTCCTCCGCCGCTTGGCCCACCTTGGGATTGGTCGGGATAACTCTGGGCCGTGCTGAACGCTTCCAACAGCGACCCTGTGGAAACTGGGAGGTACCAGACAGAGAACATAGCCAAACCCATTCGGCAACCATCTCAACCACACTTAACATAGTTAACGAGCATGTCGATCGATTGCAATTTGCAGTGCGGGAGAGTCCCCTCGCAACCCACCAAGCACAACTCTTTCTGCACAACCATTTGCATTGCTGCAACCATTCCCCAATGCTTCCCTTCGTGCACATATCTCCTCTGTTCATTTCTTCCAACTCGAACATCTCTGCCTGCGCTACCTTTCAGTCTGGCCTTTACCTCTCCACTTGGTTATGACGACATGTACTTCTGACTCGCCACTATCCATCACGACGGCGTTCGCTCCTTGCGGCTGCTAGTTTCGTCCTCGCTGGCGATTAGCTTCCTCGCGGCAGTTTTCTCTCCCTCGCGGCGATTTGTTTTTCCTGTCGATAGCTGGTGATTGCTCGGTAACTGCGTTTCCCACGGTAGCGTTTCCGGCGGGGATGAGTTCTCTCCGTGCTGTCGAGACGGCGAAGAAGTGATGATTCTTGGAAAGTTAGTCCGACAAGGTTAGTCTTCCAATTCGCTGATATCTCTTCGCCTGCTCGGTTTTGTATGATTTTCGTTTCGTCAAGTTCACGGTTCGCGGTCGCACGCGTCAGATTCTCCGTTCCTGATTTGCACGTGTTGTCTCGCCCATGCCAGATGCGCCTGCGCAACCAAACGCGTGCCGTCGAGGCGACGCAATTCCTCATCCCTATGTGACGGACGTTGGTCCTTGCCTCGTCCGTCCGGCGATCACTCTTCGCGCACGTCCTAACGATCTCCGCGAATGCTTCGGTACGATTTACGTTATGTGAGACGTTTCTAGACCGCTTTACCTGTTGCTCCGCTGGCTTCCCGTAATCGTTTCTCGCATCCCTACGACTCGTCACACTTCCTTTGCTGCGTGGCGCTGAGCTGCATTCGTTGCACCGCGACCTGAGCCTCTTTTTTTTTTCACACTCGAAACCGTCACTCCCCGTTATTCTTCGTTTTCCACTTCCAGGGATGCGACTGTCGACGCTATCAGGGCAGCGTGCATCGAAATTGGACAACGAGTCCGTCATCCGCGCTTCATCGCACGGCGGAATCGTCGTCCACGCTTCGTCGCACGGCGGAATCGTCGTCTGCTGCGCGTCGTCGCACGGAGAAATCTCTGTCTGCGCGTCGTCGCGTGGCAAAATCGTCGTCCGCGCTTCGTCGCACGGCGGAATCGTCGTCTGCGCGTCGTCGCACGGAGAAACCTCTGTCCGCGCGTCCTCGCGTGGCGAAACCGTCGTCCGCGCTTCGTCGCACGGCGGAATCGTCGTCCGCGCTTCGTCGCACGGCGGAATCGTCGTCTGCGCGTCGTCGCACGGAGAAATCTTTGTCCGCGCGTCGTCGCGTGGTGAAATCGTCGTCCGCGCTACGTCGCACGGCGGAATCGTCGTCCGCGCTTCGTCGCACGGCGGAATCGTCGTCCGCGCGTCGTCGCACGGAGAAATCTCTGTCCGCGCGTCGTCGTGTGGCGAAATCGTCGGCCGCGCTTCGTCGCACGGCGGAATCGTCGTCTGCGCGTCGTCGCACGGCGGAATCGTCGTCCGCGCGTCGTCCCACGGAGAAATCTCTGTCCGCGAGTCGTCGTGTGGCGAAATCGTCGGCCGCGCTTCGTCGCACGGCGGAATCGTCGTCTGCGCGTCGTCGCACGGAGAAATCTCTGTCCGCGCGTCGTCGCATGGCGAAATCGTCGTCCGCGCGTCGTCGCACGGAGATATCTCTGTTCGCGCGTCGTCGCGTGGCGAAATCGTCGTCCGCGCTTCGTAACATGGCGAAGTTGTTGGGAGTGGCAGTGGTGGGGGACATGGAGTGCAAAGGCAGCAGCTGCTCTCCACCCAACCCACCCACAGCTAAGTACCCCGCCCTGCCCCACTTTCCGCAACCCTCTCTCTCCTGTCATCATGTGATTCGTTCAATTGTTTTCCACGTTGGTGCATCTCCTCCTTCATTTGTCTTGTCTCCTCCTCCTCCTTGGTTTTCGCTCCTCTCCCCTGGTGTCTCCTCCTCCTCCTTGGTTTTCGCTCCTCTCCCCTGGTGTCTCCTCCTCCTCCTTGGTTTTCGCTCCTCTCCCCTGGTGTCTCCTCCTCCTCCTTGGTTTTCGCTCCTCTCCCCTGGTGTCTCCTCCTCCTCCTTGGTTTTCGCTCCTCTCCCCTGGTGTCTCCTCCTCCTCCTTGGTTTTCGCTCCTCTCCCCTGGTGTCTCCTCCTCCTCCTTGGTTTTCGCTCCTCTCCCCTGGTGTCTCCTCCTCCTCCTTGGTTTTCGCTCCTCTCCCCTGGTGTCTCCTCCTCCTTGGTTTTCGCTCCTCTCCCCTGGTGTCTCCTCCTCCTCCTTGGTTTTCGCTCCTCTCCCCTGGTGTCTCCTCCTCCTCCTTGGTTTTCGCTCCTCTCCCCTGGTGTCTCCTCCTCCTCCTTGGTTTTCGCTCCTCTCCCCTGGTGTCTCCTCCTCCTCCTTGGTTTTCGCTCCTCTCCCCTGGTGTCTCCTCCTCCTCCTTGGTTTTCGCTCCTCTCCCCTGGTGTCTCCTCCTCCTCCTTGGTTTTCGCTCCTCTCCCCTGGTGTCTCCTCCTCCTCCTTGGTTTTCGCTCCTCTCCCCTGGTGTCTCCTCCTCCTCCTTGGTTTTCGCTCCTCTCCCCTGGTGTCTCCTCCTCCTCCTTGGTTTTCGCTCCTCTCCCCTGGTGTCTCCTCCTCCTCCTTGGTTTTCACTCCTCTCCCCTGGTGTCTCCTCCTCCTCCTTGGTTTTGACCCCTCTCCCCTGGTGTCTCCTCCTCCTCCCGGCCTCAGCATCATGGCGCTCTGCACGGCTGTGGTACAGGTAAGTACGCATGGGGGTGAAGTGTGGGGAGGGAGGGTTGGGAGCATGGGAGCAAGCGGGGAGTTCACTGCCTTAGGGGCAGCATCCTCTGGGGTTGTGCCTTGTGAGTTGGGGTGTGGTGGGTGGAATCTATGCGGCACGGCTCTCGGTGCTCAAGTAACTAACCTGACGTTAAGGCTTAATGGGCACCGTCAGAGCCGACCGGCCGGCGGCTCTGGTTCGCGTCAGCTCTAGCTACGTCAGGGGTGGGATTTGAGTCTTCCGCTGGAAGCGATTTTCCACTACCACACTTCATCCCACAAGGCTCAGCCTCAGGGGTTGCTGTTTCCGTAAGAAAGTGGGCTCTTTGCTGCTCCTACTGCTGCCAGGTAAGGTGGGGAGGGGCTGGATGTTCTGGATGGTGGTGGTGAGAGGCAGTGGGGTTGGCGGTGGCACATGATGAGTTGCGCTGATGCCACCTGTTGTTGGTGGCACATGATGAGGCGCACTGATGCCACCTGTTGTTGGTGGCACATGATGAGGCGCACTGATGCCACCTGTTGTTGGTGGCACATGATGAGTTGCACTGATGCCACCTGTTGTTGGTGGCACATGATGAGTTGCACTGATGCCACCTGTTGTTGGTTGCACATGATGAGTTGCACTGATGCCACCTGTTGTTGGTGGCACATGATGAGTTGCACTGGTGCCACCTGTTGTTGGTGGCACATGATGAGTCGCACTGATACCACCTGTTGTTGGTGGCACATGATGAGTTGCACTGATGCCACCTGTTGTTGGTGGCACATGATGAGTTGCACTGATGCCACCTGTTGTTGGTGGCACATGATGAGTTGCACTGATGCCACCCTTGCATGATGCGCGAGTGGGTGAAAGGGGCTGAGTCCCCTTGGGTGGGTGAGAGCAAGTGAGAGGGGCTGAGTCCCCTTGGGTGGGTGAGAGCAAGTGAGAGGGGCTGAGTCCCCTTGGGTGGGTGAGTGCAAGTGAAAGGGGCTGAGTCCCCTTGGGTGGGTGAGTGCAAGTGAAAGGGGCTGAGTCCCCTTGGGTGGGTGAGAGCAAGTGAGAGGGGCTGAGTCCCCTTGGGTGGGTGAGTGCAAGTGAAAGGGGCTGAGTCCCCTTGGGTGGGTGAGTGGAAGGGAAAGGGGCTGAGTCCCCTTGGGTGGGTGAGTGGAAGGGAAAGGGGCTTGAAACCCCTTGGGTGGGTGATTGCAAGTGAAAGGGGCTGAGTCCCCTTGGATGGGTGAGTGCAAGTGAGAGGGGCTGAGTCCCCTTGGGTGGGTGAGTGCAAGGGAAAAGGGCTGAGTCCCCTTGGGTGGGTGAGTGGAAGGGAAAGGGGCCTGAAACCCCTTGGGTGGGTGAGTGGAGGGGAAAGGGGCCTGAAACCCCTTGGGTGGGAGAGTGGAAGGGAAAGGGGCCTGAAACCCCTTGGGTGGGTGAGTGGAAGGGAAAGGGGTTTGAAACCCCTTGGGTGGGTGAGTGGAAGGGAAAGGGGCCTGAAACCCCTTGGGTGGGTGAGTGGAAGGGAAAGGGGTTTGAAACCCCTTGGGTGGGTGAGTGGAAGGGAAAGGGGCCTGAAACCCCTTGGGTGGGTGAGTGGAAGGGAAAGGGGCCTGAAACCCCTTGGGTGGGTGAGTGGAAGGGAAAGGGGCCTGAAACCCCTTTGGGTGGGTGAGTGGAAGGGAAAGGGGCCTGAAACCCCTTGGGTGGGTGAGTGGAAGGGAAAGGGGCCTGAAACCCCTTGGGTGGGTGAGTGGAAGGGAAAGGGGCCTGAAACCCCTTGGGTGGGTGAGTGGAAGGGAAAGGGGCCTGAAACCCCTTGGGTGGGTGAGTGGAAGGGAAAGGGGCCTGAAACCCCTTGGGTGGGTGAGTGGAAGGGAAAGGGGCCTGAAACCCCTTGGGTGGGTGAGTGGAAGGGAAAGGGGCCTGAAACCCCTTGGGTGGGGGAGCGGAAGGGAAAGGGGCGGGAAAGGGGCCTGAAACCCCTTGGGTGGGTGAGTGGAAGGGAAAGGGGCCTGAAACCCCTTGGGTGGGTGAGTGCAAGGGAAAGGGGCCTGAAACCCCTTGGGTGGGTGAGTGGAAGGGAAAGGGGCCTGAAACCCCTTGGGTGGGTGAGTGGAAGGGAAAGGGGCCTGAAACCCCTTGGGTGGGTGAGTGGAAGGGAAAGGGGCCTGAAACCCCTTGGGTGGGTGAGTGGAAGGGAAAGGGGCCTGAAACCCCTTGGGTGGGTGAGTGGAAGGGAAAGGGGCCTGAAACCCCTTGGGTGGGTGAGTGGAAGGGAAAGGGGCCTGAAACCCCTTGGGTGGGTGAGTGGAGGGGAAAGGGGCCTGAAACCCCTTGGGTGGGTGAGTGGAAGGGAAAGGGGCCTGAAACCCCTTGGGTGGGTGAGTGGAAGGGAAAGGGGCCTGAAACCCCTTGGGTGGGCGAGTGGGAAGGGAAAGGGGCTGAGTCCCCTTGGGTGGGTGAGTGCAAGTGAAAAGGGCTGAGTCCCCTTGGGTGGTTGAGTGCAAGTGTAAGGGGCTGAGTCCCCTTGGGTAGGTGAGTGGGAGAAAGGGGGCTGAAACCCCTGGTGTGTGTGGGTGGAATAGAAGTCCCTTGGGCGGGTGAGTGGAATAGAAGGGGACTGAAACCCCTTGGGCGGGTGAGTGAGACAGTTGGGGGCCTGAACCCCACAGGTGGGTGAGTAAGAGGGAACCTGGATGAAACCCATGGGTGGGTGAGTAAGAGGGAACGGGTTGAAACCCCAATGGTGGTTGAGTGAGCGGCATGGGGGTTGAACCCCAAGGGTGGGTGAGTGCGAGGAAATTGGCTGACTGAAAGTGCAAGGTGGTGAGTGAGAGAGGAGGTGATTAAACCCCAAGGATGGGTGAGTGACAGTGAAGGGGGCGGGCCCTGAGGGTGGTTTGCTTGGAAAATGTGGTTGAAACCGCTTGGGCGTGTGAGTGGAAGGGAAGGGGGTGGAAACCCCAAGAGTGGGTGAGTGAGAGGGAAGGTGTCTGAAGTTGAAAGGGTGAGTGAGTGTGAGGGAATTGGGTGAAGCTTCAAGGGCAGGTAAGTGTGAGGTAAAGGGGCTGAAACCCCAAGGGCGGGTGAGTGAGAGGTAAGGAGTGATGGTGGTGGGGGGTCTGTTGAGTGAGTGTGTGGGTTGGTGGTGTGTGGGTTGGTGGTGTGTGGGTTGGTGGTGTGGGTTGGTGGTGTGTGGGTTGGTGGTGTGTGGGTTGGTGGTGTGTGGGTTGGTGGTGTGTGGGTTGGTGGTGTGTGGGTTGGTGGTGTGTGGGTTGGTGGTGTGTGGGTTGGTGGTGTGTGGGTTGGTGGTGTGTGGGTTGGTGGTGTGTGGGTTGGTGGTGTGTGGGTTGGTGGTGTGTGGGTTGGTGGTGTGTGGGTTGGTGGTGTGTGGGTTGGTGGTGTGTGGGTTGGTGGTGTGTGGGCTAGTGGTGTGTGGGTTGGTGGTGTGTGGGTTGGTGGTGTGTGGGTTGGTGGTGTGTGGGTTGGTGGTGTGTGGGTTGGTGGTGTGTGGGTTGGTGGTGTGTGGGTTGGTGGTGTGTGGGTTGGTGGTGTGTGGGTTGGTGGTGTGTGGGTTGGTGGTGTGTGGGTTGGTGGTGTGTGGGTTGGTGGTGTGTGAGTTGGTGGTGTGTGGGTTGGTGGTGTGTGGGTTGGTGGTGTGTGGGTTGGTGGTGTGTGGGTTGGTGGTGTGTGGGTTGGTGGTGTGTGGGTTGGTGGTGTGTGGGTTGGTGGTGTGTGGGTTGGTGGTGTGTGGGTTGGTGGTGTGTGGGTTGGTGGTGTGTGGGTTGGTGGTGTGTGGGCTAGTGGTGTGTGGGTTGGTGGTGTGTGGGTTGGTGGTGTGTGGGTTGGTGGTGTGTGGGTTGGTGGTGTGTGGGTTGGTGGTGTGTGGGTTGGTGGTGTGTGGGTTGGTGGTGTGTGGGTTGGTGGTGTGTGGGTTGGTGGTGTGTGGGTTGGTGGTGTGTGGGTTGGTGGTGTGTGAGTTGGTGGTGTGTGGGTTGGTGGTGTGTGGGTTGGTGGTGTGTGGGTTGGTGGTGTGTGGGTTGGTGGTGTGTGGGTATGACAGGAGGTTCTGGGTAGGTTGGGTGGGCGGTTTGTGGGTTGGTTGAATGGGTAGTTCTGAGTAGGTTGGGTGTATAATTAAGACGGTCAGTTGTGGGTTGGTTGAATGGGTAGGTTGGGTGTGTGGTTGGGAGGGTCGTTTGTGGGTTGGTTGGATGGGTAGTTCGCTTTGGTGGATGGGTGGTTTGGGGTTGGGGGTTGGTTGTTTGGTAATGGTGTTTGCTTGCTAATGGTGTTTTTGGTCCTTTGTTGTATGGTCTAGTTTGGTATGTTATAAAGTCTGGAATAGTGTATATTCCGGTGTTTGGTGTGATTGCAGTGTGATATGGTATGGCGTGGTGTGGTGTGGTTTGGTACGATGTGGTGTGTTATGGTGTCTGGTTTGGTACGATGTGGTGTGTTATGGTGTTTGGTTTGGTGCGATGTGGTGTGTTATGGTGTTTGGTTTGGTACGATGTGGTGTGTTATGGTGTCTGGTTTGGTGCGATGTGGTGTGTTATGGTGTTTGGTTTGGTGCGATGTGGTGTGTTATGGTGTTTGGTTTGGTGCAATGTGGTGTGTTATGGTGTTTGGTTTGGTACGATGTGGTGTGTTATGGTGTCTGGTTTGGTATGATGTGGTGCCCCAATAATAAGACCTGGCCAACAGAAGGCCTGAGCCAACAGAAGGCCTGAGCCAATAGAAAGCCTGAGCCAACAGAAGGCCTGAGCCAACAGAAGACCTGAGCAAGCGAGGACCTTGGCGAGAGAGGACCTGCCCTTCTGCTTGGGCTCCTGCTGTGAACTGAGTACCGTAGTTTTGTCTTTTGTTCCTTCTTGACAATCTGGTCCTTGTTTACAGCTGAATTTTATCTGTGCCTTGGTTTGTGGAGTAATAGCTTAGTGCTAATGCATTGTTACAGTATCTGGATTGTAATTGGTATAATACAGTATTAAAAGACCTATAGTGTGTACATGTTCCGCTGAGTTTCCTTGGGTTCCCTTCTGATATATTCATAAGGTATGAGGGCCTCAAACATGTAGTACTATATGCAACATATATACAGTGCTAGCCTTTAGTGATGGTACATAAAGCAGAACTCTAACATACCGGTAGGTCCTTGCTAACTCTGCTGCAGAGTCTAAAATTATTCCAGCACAACAATTCTCTACAGCATTCTTCCCGGGGTGTCTCAGCTACAGGCAGATTTTTAGTGCGGTAAAAGAACAAAGTGAATGTTGGCGAAGACCGCAGGTGTAGAAGACAGGAATTTCAAGAAAGAAGGGTGCTTGTTAGAAGTAACTGTGAGTGCAGCAGCGGGTGCAGCTGCTGCAGCAGCAGCTGCAGCGTTCAGTGAACAGCGGGAGGCGGAGGGACGAGAGCAGGCGAGACATGGCTGCTGTGAGGAGCAACCGCCGGTAGATGGGCCACCAGAGAAGCAGCAGCAGTAGCACCGGCAGCAGGAGCAGCAGCAGCAGCAGCAGCAGCAGGAGCAGCAGCGGCAACAGGAGCAGAGTGAGCGAGATGTGGCAGGGGAGGGTGGGGTGCGCTGTAACGTGCCGCCTCACGGAGTGGAGAGTCATGTGATGCCGTGTCATGAGATCTATGTGCATCTGCCATGGGGAACAAATGGAGGAGAGGCATATAATTGGGATAATTAGTAGTTGATACATCAGATTGAATAAGCCTGCACAAGTCACCAGTTCAATATACCGTATTTCCTTTCCTACTTTAACCGTTTTATCCTCTACACTACAGTTATTCGCAGTGCTCACCTCGTTTCCACAGTGCAGCGGGCCGCGGGGCGTCGTTCTTAGCGAGGTACAGCCCACACGCGTTGCACAGGTGTTGCCCTCCGGCCGCCCTGTCCTTCCGCCAAAACGGTGTCGTGTGCGTGCCGCAGTTACTGCACTCCTTCTCCTCCCCCGCCTCCCCTTTCCCATGCGCCCCCCGTTCCGCGCCCTCCCCCGATTCCCCCGCGCTTCCCCTGTCGTGATGGGCACCGTGGGCCCCCCCAACCTCCGCGCCGTCTCCGCTTACTGTGTGCTCCGCGCATCCCCTCCGCCTGCGCCGCTTCCGCGCGTGGGTATCTTCGTCTCCGGCATCCGCCTTCCCGTCTCCCAGCCGTCTCTTATCCCCTATAAACGCATGCCCTTCTAACGCCATAAGAGAGCTCGGCCTCATACTCGCCGCCACTTCCCCATACCCGGGGAAAGGCCACCCAAACGGGGGAAACTGCGCGCATCCAGTTCCGCCAAGGCCCGCTCCGGAGATCATCCGCGCAGCCATACCGGGCGCAATCGCCGGCGGAACGCCACACATGGGGAGAGGGGACGGCCGCGCAGGGAGGTGCGCCAAACCCAGACCTTGAGCGGCTTGCGGAAGTTGGGCGGAGAAGGGCGTGAGATACGGACTGGTGACGTGGCATGACTCCGCCGAGGCGCTAGCGGGGCCCGGATGCACGGCGGAGGAATCGGCGGAAGCGGTCTCACGAGGGTCCTTGAGCTGCTTCCACGGGCGGAAACCGGAACTTCCGCCGACTGCTGCGGAAGGAAGCGCGGGTTTCCCCGCAAAGGGCTGCTGCTCTTTCAGAACGTCCGCGCGGGGCGGGGAGCTCGGAGCCAGCGGAACTAGCGGCGCCAGCGGCGGCGGCGGCGGCGGCATCTGAGAAAAGTGCTGGTTCCACGAAGCGGCATCTGCGGCGGCGGATGCGCAGGGGTTGGCTGGAGGCGGGCAGAAGTAGACGTATGGTTGCATGGCAGGGGACACATGCTGAAGCCGTTGCTGCAGCTGCTGTTGAAATGCCTGATGCTGAATTGGCTGCTGTAGCGGCTGCTGCGGCGGCTGCTGCGGCGCTTGCTGCGATAGCAGCTGTTTCTGCTGCTGCAGCGGCACGAGGGGAGGCGGGAAGGAAACAAACGGCCCCCACCAGGTGCCTGCGGCCGGCACGGGCGGTAAAGCCGGCATGCCACGGCTCCCAGAGGGTAGAAACGAAGGGATAAGAATCGCAGTAGTTGCGAGGGCGGGAGCAGGCTGGATGCTAACTGGTTTCCTCTCGAGTACCGGCACCGGTGCCGGCTCTGCCGCGTCTTTTCTCTCGCGTGTCTTTAAAGCCTTAATCCTCGCTTCTGGTTCCGGCTGCTCCTTACTGGGGCTTCGCTTCTGGCGACACGGCGCTGCGACAGCGGTTGACACGGCGCGCGGCGATACCGCAGCATTCTGAGCGTCAATGCTTTTGGGTGCCTGTCCGTCGTTGTCGGCCTTGACTCTAATCGCGTCTGAGTCGAGAGTGTGCCAAAGACTAAGCTTAATGGGGACGGCTGTAGCAGCCACGTCAGCAATTGGAGCGAGAGGAGCGGGAGGGCTGCAGTGGTTGGGAGACGCGGGGGTGGAGCGAGGGGAAGGAGGGTCCCGAACGGGCGTGGTTGGGAAAAACTGGAAAGCGGAGTGCACACATTCGCATGGCTGCTGGCTGTTCGTGTTACAGAATGGAGCCAAGCACGTTTCAGTGGGTGAGGTGTGAGAGACTCGTGTAATTTCGCTTGCGGATGTCAGGAAATTCTCTTGCTTTTTGCACGTCGCAGTAAGGTGATCCATTGTCGCGCGAGAACTTGATAGGAGAAGATAGAGCGGGTCGTAAAGAGCATAACGCACATTAAGGCGTCTAATCTAAACGGAGGCTCCGACGAGGTGTGCTCTACTTGACGTGTAAGGAAACAACGAAGTTGAAATGCTAGAAAAATGAGGAATGCTGTTGTATCTGCAGCGAAAATGCTCTGCTGCAGTCTTCTCTCTCCACTCCAGCTGTTGCTGTTGGCCGAGATGCAGTCGCGGTGCGGAGGAGGGGCGATGCGCAGGCGAGTGACAGATGGATAGGATACACAGTGAGTGGAGAAATGCGGTGGAATAGAAAGGAGTTTGAGAGGGTACCAAATCGTTTCTCCTATTTCCACCACCCCTCCATTGATCATCCGTACCTTCTCCCGCCTCTCCCGAACCCTTATGTACCGAACGTCGAGTCTCTCGTTGGAGTGCCTTCCAAACCACCCACCGAACCATGTCATTCGCCTCATCCGTCATCCCTTTCTCCAAACTTCCAGGCTTTCGTTGCCTTGCGGTTGCTTTTCCCTGCCTTGGGATTGCTCGTTCCCCTTCCCGCAACTGGACGGGCGAATCGCGCGAGAGGTAGGCTAGTCAGCGAGAGATCGCGGTGCCAAGTGGATGGAGGGAAAAGGGAAGGGATGGAAAAGCGGCCACTGTGGATCAGCATTGGACGGAAGACGATAACGGAAAATTGCCTACCTGATGCGGACACCACATCTTAGGGATGTGCAGATGTCGACGTGGTGATCCCAACTTCCACTGAGTTCGGACGAGGCACGTCAGCACGGTGAGGGTTGCGAATGAGTTGATGGTGACGATCAAGTGAGCCAGCACAGATGCGGGAAAGTCGTCAGTGGTCCCATGATCTGTCTCAGATCGACGTGTTTCGCGTGCAACTGAGTCCTGCTGATCCACACGTCGCGGATCACCGACAAAGCTTCCAATCAACTGGGATTGATAGCGTGGAAAGTGTAGCATTTGTGTCATAGATAGCCACGTAACCATGATGTCAAGTAGAGTCACATACACGCCTTCCCCGACTCGTTACCAACAACCACCTTCAACGACAACCACGAGTTCAAGTCCAGTCGAGAATCTAGTGGCGCACAGTCAGAATTCTGCGGCTGACGAATGGGAATCGAGATATTTTGCTGAGCGTGCTAGCTCGTGGTCAGAGCTAGCCGTGAACACGTAACACTCGGTTCTATTGTACACGCCAGAAGTAAAGCTTGGCATCTGGAAAGGCCCAGCATCAAGCACATCTGATTCTCCAGCCACGTCGGTTCCTTGTCAGTCGCCTTGATCCTGTCCATTTGTTGAGGATAAGGGACCCATGGGCAGTTCGTTGAAACCATGGCAAAATGCATGTGTGGGGCCTTCAGATTACATCTAGCGAATCAGCCACTGCGGAGTTATGGTGCATGACTTTGTTTCAGTGATAAAGCTTGTCTCTTGTATACTCATGAAGTCATTATAATAACAATATAGAAGTACTAGGACCTGTGTGGTGGAAATGCATGGAAAAACTCCTGTTGAGTGATATTTTAGTCTTGATAAGTAGTTATAGCATAATTATAAGCACCCAAGCATGTGATTTTTCTTCTAGCGTTAAATTATGGAGATAAATACGATCCCCATATCCTTCCTCATGTTTTGCCTAAAGTTGTTAAATTTTAAGACTAATGAATCCATAAGCTGAAAAACTGGTGGATGTGTTACAGACCTGAAGTGTAAGGAATTTCGCTAATTCCTTACTGAGGCATCTCTTACGCGTAAAATTCCAACTTTCGGAATTCAGGCTCGGTCCGACGACCTCGCCTTCCGAACGTCTCCCGCGTCGCCCTCGGATTTCCCAACCCCAAACCTGCACCCAACCTTCGCGCGACTCCGCGACCTCGGCCTAGCTAGCTGTGCTATATTATGCCTAGGCCTCATTGTTTGCTCAGTAGTTGTAATCACTTCCGCGATATTGCATTCTGCGCATTCTTCTTTCATACAACTCATAACACTTGGTATCAGAGCTACTTTCCTAGGTTACCCTCCACTTTCCGGGGTAGTTTTAGTGCAGGGGTGCGATAGGTTTGGTGGGCTGCAAAGCGGTCGGCTGAGAGATAGATACGATTATCTCGCTCCGACTAATAGCGTTTGCGCCTTCATCAAAACCATAAAAATCGCTGTTAACCCGCTTGCCCGCTAGGATGAGTCTCCGAAACATGACGCAAGCAGAGTTTGACGTGTTTTTGCAGGACTTTCGGGCGATGCAATCCAACATGCAGACTATGTCTGACGAGTTGGAGCTGATAAGAATGGAAAACGCCGAGCTATGCCAGACGCGAGGTGAAGCGCGTCAGGAGTCGCCCGCCGTGGATGAAGCAAGTAGCAGCTTCGCGCCTAACGACGAGGTCCTTAGCGAGCTACAGAACTCGCTGGACGCTGAAGATGAGTGGACGGCACGGATGCAACAAGCATAAGGGACGCAGGAGCAACAGTCACAGCCGCAGCAACAGACACGAGCGGCGCCGAGGCAACAGTCGCAGACTACACCACGTCAGGCAACAGCGACAACCCCGGTGATGGCTTCAGTGGCTCCCCCGATGCATGCAGCAGCGACAGTCTCAACAACTGTTAAAACAAAACCGACGAACCCGCCCCCGTTCAACCCCAGCGACAAAACCGTCACTGTGTCGGCATGGTTGTTCGGCGTGGAGGTGTTTTTCAATGCTGCGCAAATTGCTGACGATGCTACCCGCATTAATTTCGCAGTGTCACTGTTACGAGGGCCGGCGTTGGAGTGGTGGAAGCGGACTCTTCAGACAGGGGGGACTCCGGCAGGGATGTCACGTGCGAACGACGGGACCTGGACAACTGTCACGCAACAGGCAACTTCAATCTTCAGAGTGGCCACGATACGCACATGGACGGAATGGGGCGCCGCGCTGCGAACCAGATTCGAGCATGTATCCGCCTCGGATTCTGCTCGCATGAAGCTGCGCACCTGGAAGCAGGTGGCGTCGGTCCAAGATTACACGGCAACATTCTGCAATTTGGCTGACCAAGTGGACGATATGAGCGACGCGGAACGACTCGACCGATATGTCGCAGGCCTCAAGTACGAAATACAGTACGAGGTGCGACGGGCGAGGCCACGCGGTTTTCTCGATGCCGTCCAGGTGGCTGAATCAACGGATGCGCTGATGCAATGGGCGAGAATGAGTTCCCGGGAGGGCACTCAATTTCGTGGACCGCCGCGCCAGCCCACAATCAACGGGGTGGATGCACCGAGACGTGGACCTAACACGTGCTTCAACTGCAACCAACCGGGCCACTGGAGGAAGGACTGCCCGAAGCTGAAACAGGGAAACAGGAACGACGGAGAGGGGTCGGGAAAAGAGATGAGTCAGTAGCAGTCGGGCCACCTACTGACGAGACCCCGTCGCCCGGCAATCAACATCCACACCGAGTGGTGGTACCGATACGGGCTATCGACCGCAACCGGACGAATAAGGTGGATGAACACGTGGATCACCCTGTGCTGGTCGTGGGGAGGGTTAACGGCTATAAAATAAAATTATTCGTTGACGGTGGGGCGAGCCACAGTCTCGTCAACCTGGCAACGGCAAAAAAAATAGGGGTCAAACTGGACAGGTGTCTGCCCGAGATTGACGCGCGACTGGTGGACGGGACACCGCTGGCGACAAAAGACGAGGTCCGACAAATTCGGATGAAGTGTGGCGACGATTTCGGGTTTTCAATGCGAATGCTGGCGACAACACTGGACGGTTGCGATGTGCTGCTGGGACGAGATTGGCTACAGCGTTTCAATCCGACGATCGACTGGACGACGGGGACGATCACGGTGCTGTGCAACAAGGGGCGCGTGACACTTCCGAAATGGGCGGAGCCGGAGCCGATGACAACACGTGTCAACGCAATAACGATGAAGAGGGCGATAAAACGGGGAGCGCAAGGCTACGCCGTACAGCTGTACGAGGTGGTGGCTTCCGAAAAAATCGCCGACATCGACACGCTCTGCGCTGCTGTACCCAACGACGTGGCGAGCATAATTCGGAGGTATCCCGAAATCTTCGCGGATGACCTGCCTGACGGGCTGCCACCTCAGCGTCCGGAGGACCACAGGATCGAGCTGGAGCCAGGCGCAAAACCAACTCTTCGGTCACAGTGGCGGCTCAGCCAACCGGAGCTCGACGAGTTGCGGAAACAGCTGGATTATCTGCTTTCGAAGGGTTTTATCCGGCCGAGCATGTCACCATACGCCGCCCCGATACTGTTCACACCGAAAAAGGACGGAGGCCTGCGCATGTGCATCGACTATCGAGCGTTGAACCGGGTCACGATCAAGTCACGTTACCCAATCCCACGAGCGGACGACCTGCTGGATCAGCTTCGCGGGGCTCGCTTCTTCTCGAAAATCGATTTGCGAGGTGGCTACCACCAAATTCGCGTGTTCACCGACGACTGCCCGAAGACTGCGTTTCGCACCCGCTACGGCAGTTACGAGTACACTGTGATGCCGTTCGGGTTGACGAACGCGCCCTCGACTTTCCAGCTCACCATGAATGGGGTGTTTCGGGACATGCTGGACAAAAAAGTTATCGTTTATCTGGACGACATCCTGGTGTACAGCAAGACTCGGGAGCAGCATTTACAGGATTTAGAGGAAGTGTTCCGGCGCTTGCAGCAGAACCGACTGATTACTAAGGGCTCTAAGTGTGAGTTCTTACAGTCGGAGCTGGAGTTCCTGGGGCACGTGATTTCAGGGGAGGGCATTAAAATTGACCCTCGCAAAGTAACGGCGATTTCGGAGTGGAAGCCGCCCACGAACATCACGGAGTTGCAGAGTTTCCTCGGCTTCGTTAACTACGTCCGCCGTTTTGTACCGAATATGGCGGAGGTAACCAGGCCGTTAACCGATCTACTGCATAAGGGCGTGCAATTCTGTTGGGGGGAGAGAGAACAGCTGGCTTTCAACGAGCTGAAGAAAATTTTGAGTTCACCCCCGGTGCTTCGGCTGGCAGATCCATCTCGACCGTTCGAAGTCGTGACGGACGCCAGCGATTTCGCCGTGGGCGCTGTGCTACTACAGGACTTCGGAAACGGGCTGCAACCCATCGCGTACGAATCAAGAAAAATGCAGCCGCCCGAGCGCAACTATCCGGTCCACGACAAGGAAATGCTCGCCATCGTGCATGCATTTCGTACCTGGCGCTGTTACCTCACGGGAGCTGACGTCACCGTCCGAACCGACCACAAGTCATTACAATACATGCGCAGCCAACCACAACTCAACCCGCGACAAATCCGGTGGCTCGATTACCTCGAGTCCAATTTCAGCTACACCATCACGTACAAAAAGGGCGCCAACAACATCGCCGACGCCCTGACCCGACCATCAATGCAGACCGCAGCAGTACTAATCGCCCATTCTAACCCTTTATTGACAGGATTATTCAAGCATGGCTACAGGATTGACCGGTTTTTCAGGACCAATCAACACCACGGGGTCACCACGGCGCATGGGAGCTACTACCTAAAAGTCGGTACTAACCGAGTTTGGGTACCTTCCTACCGACCCTTACGAGAATTGCTGACGCAGGAAGTACACGACTCCAACCTCTCCGGGCATTGTTAAAATAGTAGGAAGAAACGGGGTTGCACTAGCAAGAATGAGGATACAAATAGCAAACCCTAGAAGGGTTGTACTCGCTATAGAGCACCCCACTACAGGCTAGAGCATAATATTCTGACACACCCCTATAGCCAAAGTGGGGTGTAATCAGCAGAGCAAGTAAAGCAGTACAAGCTCAGGGTGGATCACAATGTCACCACACATTCTGAGCACAAGTTCAAGAAGCAATAGTTTAAAGTTCACAATTATGAGCAAAGCTAGTGGTAGTCACAGAGGGCAAGTGAGGAGGAGGAGAGACTGTGGGGGAGAGAAGATGGGAGGCGACTGCTGACGCTGCAGACACACAGACGAGCTGCTGGCTCAGTGGCTACCGAAGCAAAGGCCCGGACTACAGGAGTAACTGGCTCCGCGGCTAAAAGTAGCGGCAGACGAGCAACTGACCCACAGGCGACTGGCGACTACCGGAGATTGTAGCCTCCGGACTGCTGGTGCTGCTGACGACAAGACTGCTGCCTCCACTTAACCTCCCCCAGCTGCCCAACACCCCTCTCACACACCCGCTGCTACACCGCTAGCTCCACTCCCCCTTCACCCCCCCTTAGTACCACTCCAACGGCTCCAACAAGTCCACCCCCCCTCAGCGGCAGCTGCAGCACAGGGAGACGGAGGAGGAGGAGGAGCAGGGAACGGCACACAGTGGCTTCACCCCCATACCCCTCACCCCCAAACCCTAATTCAGGAGAACGGGCTGTAGGAGGGGTGGGGCGCCAGTAGAAGCACGGGGGACAGCGGGGAGGGCAGGGGCAGCGAGGAAAGGGCCGCCCACGGGCCTGGCACAGCCGCCCGAACCGCGCGCAGGCGGCCCGAGCCGCGCGCGGGCCTGGCGCAGCCCGTACGGGCCGCGCGCGGGCCTGGCGCAGCCCGTACGGGCCGCGCGCTGGCCTGGCGCAGCCCGTACGGGCCGCGTCCGGGCCTGGCGCAGCCCTTACCGGCCGCGCGCAGCCTGTACGGGCCGCGCGCAGCCTGTACGGGCCGCGCGCAGGCCACGACGGGCGACGGGGGGCGACGCGCGGGTCCCCGTCGCCCGTCGCAGCGCCTCCCGAGGGCGACGCGCCGAGTGACGGGGCAGAAGCCCGCCGCGCGCCTCGGGGCGCACAGCGGGCAGAGAACCGCCGCGCGCCACGGGGCGCACGGCGGGCAGAAAACCGCCGCGCGCCTCGGGGCGCACGGCGGGAAGAAAAACTGCCGCACGCCACGGGGCGTGCGGCACAGAGGGTAGCAGTGGAAGTTGCAGCGGAAGCAACGAGGTGGTAAGACCACCCACAGGATCGATCCAAGGGGATCGACCTGCTCTGATAGCATGTTAAAATAGTAGGAAGAAAGGGGGTTGCACTAGCAAGAATGAGGATACAAATAGCAAACCCTAGAAGGGTTGTACTCGCTATAGAGCACCCCACTACAGGCTAGAGCATAATATTCTGACAGGCATTTCGGCGTCGACAAAACGTTGAAGCTGCTGCATCGGAATTATTACTGGCCCGACATGGCGTCAGATGTGCAGCACTACGTGTCCGCCTGCCCGACCTGCCAAGCAATGAAGTCATCACGCAACGCCCAGCTGGATTGCTGCAGCCCCTCGAGCCACCCGAACGACCGTGGCAACAGGTGACAATGGATTTCGTCACAGGACTGCCAGCGGGCGCAAGTGGCAACGACTCGGTACTTGTCGTCGTCGATCGCTTAACGAAAATGGCGCATTTCGCACCATGCCGCACGACGATCACAGCCGAAGAAACAGCGAAGCTCTTCATCTCGACCGTCGTACGACTACACGGGTTGCCATCGGCGATAATCAGCGACCGCGACCCAAAATTCACGTCGAAGTTCTGGCAGGAGACGTGGGCACAGTACGGCACCCGCCTGCAGTTTTCGTCGTCGTACCATCCACAGACCGACGGACAGACAGAGAGGACAAACCAGACGATGGAGCAGTTGATTCGCACGAACTGCCCCGACATCACCAAATGGGAGGATTCCCTTCCCATGCTCGAGTTTGCGTACAATAACGCCCCATCTGCAACGACCAAGCAATCGCCGTTCTACCTGAATTACGGGATAGATCCGGTAGTACCCTCGTCAACAACTCCCGATAACCCGGTACCAAGGTCGCAGCAGTTTGTTTCGGAACTACAAGCAGCGCGAGACAAAGCAGCGGAATTTATCCGGAAGGCTAATACGGCCGCCAGCCGCTACGCCAACCGACATCGACGGAATTTACCCTTCCGTGACGGGCAGATGGTCCTCCTGGACACAAAAAACCTCAAGCTGCCCCAGCCTGCAAAACTGCGTCTCCGCTACGTGGGACCCTTTCGCATCATTCGGATGCTGACACCGGTCACTGCGAAACTTCTCCTACCGGACGACTGGAAAATCCACGACGCTTTCCACGTCAGTTTACTTCGCCACTATGTGGCACCGCAGTCGTCCGACGTCGCCCGACCCCACCAGGCGCCAAATGTCCGACCTGTGGCAGACCCGACGCTTCAACCTTGGAAGATATTGAACCATCGCATTCGTGCGACCCCCGCCGGACGCCACGTCGACTTCCTGCCACGCTGGGTCTGGATCGCACAAGCGAAGATGACACATGGGTCCCGGCTGACTCACTACAAGGGCACTCGGTACTTCGGCAGTATCTTTCTCGCCGACATGTGCCTGATATCGACCACCTTTCTTAAAGGGGGGGTAGTGTAAGGAATTTCGCTAATTCCTTACTGAGGCATCTCTTACGCGTAAAATTCCAACTTTCGGAATTCAGGCTTGGTCCGACGACCTCGCCTTCCGAACGTCTCCCGCGTCGCCCTCGGATTTCCCAACCCCAAACCTGCACCCAACCTTCGCGCGACTCCGTGACCTCGGCCTAGCTAGCTGTGCTATATTATGCCTAGGCCTCGTTGTTTGCTCAGTAGTTGTAATCACTTCCGCGATATTGCATTCTGCGCACTCTTCTTTCATACAACTCATAACATGAAGCTTGTAAGTATAACTTACACGAAAATCGTATCTAGAAGCAACCTCAATTCCCCTCCCTGAATCTTCGGTCGGGTTTTGCCTTGCCGAGTTGCTGTGGTGGTTGTTGCTAGCAAGGAAACCAAGGGACAGGACAGGCAAGCATTGGTGATCTTGCTTTTCTTTGGTGGGTGGTGGGGACAAGGACCAAGCAACCCCGTTTATATGATTGGTTGAGTGCGACACGCGCAAGCCACTAGTGACGGTAGTTAACAGCGCGTCGTTGACGGCGACTTGCTGCTGCAGTCGTTAGATTTTACTGGAAGATGTAGCAGAATAGCCGGCGTGTACCTAACTGATATCGGTTAATCTTATAGGAGTGAATCTGACAGCAGGTTCTTGGTTAGGTTAGCGTCCCTAGTTTTTTATTAGGGTTAGCGAGGATGGGGAAGAATCAGCAGTACAAGGCGGCGCAACGAGCCAAGTCGATGAGCCGTGGGGGTGGCGGTGGTGGCGGCGACGAGGAGAGCAATGATGGAATGGTAATGATGTTTGCACCTGGTGTGCTGCATTCCCTAGCGCTCTTATTATGTGCTATCGGTTCTAGTTTTTCTCCTTTTCCTACGTTGGCACGACGGATTACTAATGCAGCCATTGGCAGATTGATGGATCCTTCCATTCTCCAGCATGGCATGCTGCACGCCTGGCAGCCTTGCAGACGACCAACACGCTCACGTGGGAGGAGTGGAAGGCTCAACGAAAGGTACGCTGCAAGCTCTACGCATCGCTAGACAAATGTTCGTTGACCAGACCAGCATTCATAGTCGTAGCTGGTAAACCTCTCTGCTTATTTGATATTTTTTTACGCTTAGCTTCCGTAAGTACTTTACCTCCTTAGTGAAGGCCGTGACTGATTATGATTGTAATTCTCTGGCTCGGCGCGCTGTACGAGCAGGAAGAGGCGAGGAAGCAGCAGGAAATGGAGGGTTTTGAGGAGCAGCGGATGAAGGAGTACCGGGCTCAGTTGGACAGCGAGCGAGAAGCGAGGCTCTCGCGAGGACGAAACCACGCGGATAAACGCGGGAAGATAAAAAAGAGTGCGTTCATGTCTTTAACACGTAAGCTTTTGAAAGGATTCCACGTCTATGGTCCACTGATGTTTTATACTTCTTCTGTTCTGTTGCTTGCTTTCACCCTGTCAATTTGTTTGTGCAGGCAAGGACAAAGATAAGAGCAAGAAGAAGGTAAGCAAATTTGCTTCAGTTCCATGCTTTACCCTTGTTTCTGTTTCAAATTCTTCAGAGCTATTTGGGTCTCAGTTTCTCTCCTCACATATTGTCTGACATCATATGTGGCACTATCTCAGAAAAAGAGCAAGCGCAAAAAGGGTGGTTCTGAAAGCGACTCAAGCAACTCGAGCAGCGGCGACGAGGACAGCGACAAGAAGAAAAAGAAGAAGAAATCCAAGAAAGATTCGGATGCTCTGAGCAGTGCGAGCGAGGAGGAGGAAGGTCCTGTTCGCCTGTCTTCCTTCCTAGAGAAGGGAGATGACGACCTTCCAGGGTCTGACGATGAGGATGAGCCGCTGCCAGCTAAAAGCAAAGAGAAGGGCGGCGATTTATCAAGCATTTTAGCTGAAGCTAAGAGAAGAGCGGAGATTGGGGCTCACATGGTGGCTGAAGTAAAAAAGGCTGAGATGATCCAGTCTGGTCTGCCCTCCTGACTATCCTTTCCAGCAATTCTGCCAGCTAGCCACCTTTCTTACCCCGATTCCTCTTCAGCTCACCCTCAATGTTGGGTTGAACTGAAATGTAGCGTTTAGTTGGAATATTCTTCCTGCCTTCTGACTGGCAGTGTGTTGATTAATGATTTTAACATTATTAGATGCTTACAAGAGCTACAGTTACAATGGAATAGGAGCAAGTTGCTCCATCAAACAGGGGTAATATGTGCCCCACCAGCCAACCAATCTGTCCAGTTAGTCTTTGCACTGGCATTGAAGCTAAACACCTCTATTCTGCAAGCAAAAGCCATAGCATACTTGGCTACACTTGCTTATTCTGCACTCAACCGGGCAAAAGTGGCATGCACTTATTAACCCTTACCGTAGCTGCAGGGCTTGAGCCTCAGGTCAGGAGCTCATCAGGAAAACTGGCGAGTTTGTTGGGAACCATGGAGCAGCAGATACCGGTAAGCCACTGGAATGCACCAATGACACTAGGCTCGAAGAAGGCCCCATCATTTCTGGAGGGCTGGGAGATGAGCAACCCAACCCCACCCAACCCAACTGCACCAAGCCCAGCCGCTCCCATGATGGGCTTTATGCTATGAGTCCCATCCCAACTCCAACCAACCACACCCCACTCCTGGCATCACCACCTGGGGTTCTGCCACGAGATGTCCAGCCACGAGATGTCCAGCCACGAGCTGAGATGCCCGTCGCATAATGACCAACCCCATTGCACCCCACCAAACGGCAACCCGCCCAAATCCATCCAACCGCACCTCACCCCTGGCGTCACCACTTCGGGTTCTGCCCCGAGACGTCCAGCCAGGAGCTGAGGTCAACAAACGGCTCGGGGTCAAACTGAGAGGCGTCAGAGATGATCCCAGGGTGCACCCACGATGCCCGGCTGGCAGCATTGCCCGGCCCCGTGCTGCCCTTCTCTGCATAGAGGTGCGCAGCTGCCCTTGCTGTCGCCCCCCCACGTGCTCCACCCGTCCCGTTCGAGCTCCTGTGGCATAGGGTGGAGGGAAGGGGCGATGTGAGAAGGACGGAGTAGGGATGAGAGTGTGTGGTAAGCGTACTTTTGAGGCGCCTCAAAATTGGGGGGAAGGGGTGAGGTGAGAAGGACGAAGGGGATCCGAGTGTGTGGAGCTCTGCTGCCTTGCTGGCAGCATAGCCCGGCCCCGTGCTGCCCTTCTCTGCATAGTAGACGCAGCTGCCCTTGCTGTCGTCCCCCCACGTGCTCCACCCGTCCCGCTCCAACTCCTGTGGGATAGGGTGTGGAAGGAAAGCGGGAGAGGTAGAGATAAGGACAGAGTGTGGATGAAAGTGTGTGATACAGGCAGCTAGTAGGGGAGGACAGAGGGGAGAAAGGGCGAGGTGAGAATTTTTGAGACGTCTCAAAAATACCCTCTCTACATGTGTGGTACAGGCAGCTAGTAGGGGAGGCCAGAGGGGAGAAAGGGCGAGGTGAGAAGGAGAAATGAGCTGAATGAGAGTATGTGGGGTAGGCACCTGCATTGGCAGTGACTCAAAGCCTTGTGACTGTTGAGGTGACTCACAGCAGGCATGTAGCTATTATCAAAGACCATGCAAGCACAGTCCTTTCACGGCCACCCCAGGTAGATGAGTCCTTACTCATGGTAAGGACTCATATACCTGCCTCTCTACACTTGTTGACTTTTGAGTCGACTCAAAAGCCATCCCAGGTAGATGAGTCCGTATTCATGGTAAGGACTCATATAACTACCCCTCTACACTTGTTTAGCCTGAACTGACTCACCGCAGGCATGTAGCTGTCAACAAACACGGTGCGAGCACAGTCCTTCCACGGCCGCCCCAGGTAGACCTCCGAAACCCCAGAGTCCACTGAGATCTTGGCGTTGCGGATCACGATTCCCGTCGGCGTGTTGCTCTCTCGGCCCGATGCCGTGATGGTTGCGAAGGAGCTGAAGGGGGAAGGGAGGGGGGGAGGGGAGTATGGGAGGGCAGAACGGGGGGATGAGTGTGCGAATGACGATGCCCCGCAACACAGTCCGTGCACTACTCTCTTCCCCTCTCCTGCTCACCTGCTCTTGTGCACCACGATGGTGGGATTGTCTATCGCCACTGCTGCATCGCCAAAGATGAAGTCGATGGTGCCGCCAATGTAGCAGTCCTTGTAGTACTGCCTGCCCGCATCCACATAGAGCGTGTCCTGATTGGGAGTGGGGAGTGGGGAGAGGAGAGACAGCAGCATGTGAGCATGAAGTCAATGGTGCCGACGGGAGAACGGGAGTGAGGGTGAAGGGGACAGAGGGGACAGAAGACGTGTTGTGTTGTGAGTCACTGGAGAGGGGCCATGAAATCAATGGTGCCGCTCATGTAGCTGCCCCTGTATTGTAGTACTGCCTCCCCTCATGGCCACCGTCTGGTGGTTCTGCGGCCCGGCCGTGTTCTCAAAGCGGATGCCCAGCGGCGAGTGTGACAAGGGGGGGTGGGGAAACAAGGGCTGTGCTCAACTTGTTGCCCATGCTCACCTGGTTGGCCTCGAAGGCACACTCGAAGAAAGCGGAGCGGTCGCCACTGGCCCTCATGGCCATCGCCTGGTGGTCTGACAGTCAACTCAAAAAGGGGGAGTGGGGTTCAAGAGGAGGGTTGCCCTCACCTGGTTGGCCTCGAAGGCGCACTCGAAGAAGGCGGAGCAGTCGCCACTGGCCCTCATGGCAACGGCGTGCCTTAGGATTCAACTCAAAAGTCGGACACGAGTCAACCCAAAAAGGACTGCCAAAGAGGAGAGGAAAAAGGAGGGTTGTGCTCACCTGGTTGGCCTCAAAGGCGCACTCAAAGAAGGCAGAGCGATCACCACTGGCCCTCATGGCCACTGCCTGGTGGCTTGACAGTCAACTCAAAGGCGAGGGGAAGAAGAGGCGGAGGGAGAGAGGGAAGGAGCACCGTGCTCACCTGGTTGGCCTCAAAGGCGCACTCGAAGAAGGCGGAGCGGTCACCACTGGCCCTCATGGCCACGGCGTGCCTTAGGATTCAACTCAAAAGTCGGACACGAGTCAACCCAAAAAGGACTGCCAAAGAGGAGAGGAAAAAGGAGGGTTGTGCTCACCTGGTTGGCCTCAAAGGCGCACTCAAAGAAGGCAGAGCGATCACCACTGGCCCTCATGGCCACTGCCTGGTGGCTTGACAGTCAACTCAAAGGCGAGGGGAAGAAGAGGCGGAGGGAGAGAGGGAAGGAGCACCGTGCTCACCTGGTTGGCCTCAAAGGCGCACTCGAAGAAGGCGGAGCGGTCACCACTGGCCCTCATGGCCACTGCCTGGTGGTTCTGCGGCCCGGCCGTGTTCTCAAAGCGGATGCCCAAAGCGCAGAAGCGCTCCTTGTTGGCCCCTGGGAGCAGAAAGGGGACACGCCATTGCGAGACACATGGGAAGGCACAGAGGGGTTAGGTGTGTAGTGCGGTGACTGCCTGGTGGGTCTGCGGCCCGGCCGTGTTCTCAAAGCGGATGCCCAAAGCACAGAAGCGCTCCTTGTTGGCTCCTTGGAGCACTCACATGGAGGCGAACTCACATGGGGGTTCAGAGAACACCGGCTGGCACCTTGGAGCACCTGTGAGGTGCGAGCGAACACACATGGGCACCTGTGAGGTGCGAGCGAACTCACATGGGCACCTGTGAGGTGCGAGCGAACTCACATGGGCACCTGTGAGGTGCGAGCGAACACACATGGGAACCTGTGAGGTGCGAGCGAACACACATGGGCACCTGTGAGGTGCGAACACACATGGGGGTAAGTCAGGAGGAATTCAGAGCCATCCGGTTTTCAGTCACCTGACTGGTATACCTCCCTTGCTCCAGCCTACCCCCTCCCTGCATGGCACAATGCCACGTGGCGCTCACAGATGGTGGCAGGCAGGGCGGTAAGTGGTGGAACCGCTGCCACCACTCTTATCCCCCGTGATGATGGTTTAATCCGCGCCCTCACCCACCATGATGAGCCCCTTGTTGCGGAATATGATGGACTCATGGTATGTGCGGTGCAGAACACATCAATTGACGCTCACCGATGGTGGCAGAGCGATACGTAGTCGACCCGCTGCCAGCGCTCTTATCCCCAGTGATGATGGTTCTGTCACTGCCCTCCCCCACCATGATGGGCCCCTTGTTGTGGAAGATTTTGGATTCATGGTAGGTCCCGGATGAGCCCCTTGCTGCAGCATGCATACCTCCCTCCCACCCACTCTACAATGCAACGCTCACCGATGGTGGCAGAGCGATACGTAGTAGACCCGCTGCCAGCGCTCTTGGACCCCGTGATGATGGTTTTATCTGCGCCCTCCCCCACCATGATGAGCCCCTTGTTGCGGAATATAATGGACTCGTGGTACGTCCCCGCGCGGATGAATATCACAAACCGCCCGTCCTTGGGTGCTGCTCCCAACGCACCCTGTATGAGGTTAAGGGGGGTGGGGGAGGGGGAAGGGGGAATTGGGGGGGCCTCACAGCACCTCAACAGGCCTCACAGCACCTCAACAGGCCTCACAGCACCTCAACAGGCCTCACAGCACCTCAACAGGCCTCACAGCACCTCAACAGGCCTCACAGCACCGAAACAGGCCTCACAGCACCTCAACAGGCCTCACAGCACCTCAACAGGCCTCACAGCACCTCAACAGGCCTCACAGCACCTCAACAGGCCTCACAGCACCTCAACAGGCCTCACAGCACCTCAACAGGCCTCACAGCACCTCAACAGGCCTCACAGCACCTCAACAGGCCTCACAGCACCTCAACAGGCCTCACAGCACCTCAACAGGCCTCACAGCACCTCAACAGGCCTCACAGCACCTCAACAGGCCTCACAGCACCTCAACAGGCCTCACAGCACCTCAACAGGCCTCACAGCACCTCAACAGGCCTCACAGCACCTCAACAGGCCTCACAGCACCTCAACAGGCCTCACAGCACCTCAACAGGCCTCACAGCACCTCAACAGGCCTCACAGCACCTCAACAGGCCTCACAGCACCTCAACAGGCCTCACAGCACCTCAACAGGCCTCACAGCACCTCAACAGGCCTCACAGCACCTCAACAGGCCTCACAGCACCTCAACAGGCCTCACAGCACCTCAACAGGCCTCACAGCACCTCAACAGGCCTCACAGCACCTCAACAGGCCTCACAGCACCTCAACAGGCCTCACAGCACCTCAACAGGCCTCACAGCACCTCAACAGGCCTCACAGCACCTCAACAGGCCTCACAGCACCTCAACAGGCCTCACAGCACCTCAACAGGCCTCACAGCACCTCAACAGGCCTCACAGCACCTCAACAGGCCTCACAGCACCTCAACAGGCCTCACAGCACCTCAACAGGCCTCACAGCACCTCAACAGGCCTCACAGCACCTCAACAGGCCTCACAGCACCTCAACAGGCCTCACAGCACCTCAACAGGCCTCACAGCACCTCAACAGGCCTCACAGCACCTCAACAGGCCTCACAGCACCTCAACAGGCCTCACAGCACCTCAACAGGCCTCACAGCACCTCAACAGGCCTCACAGCACCTCAACAGGCCTCACAGCACCTCAACAGGCCTCACAGCACCTCAACAGGCCTCACAGCACCTCAACAGGCCTCACAGCACCTCAACAGGCCTCACAGCACCTCAACAGGCCTCACAGCACCTCAACAGGCCTCACAGCACCTCAACAGGCCTCACAGCACCTCAACAGGCCTCACAGCACCTCAACAGGCCTCACAGCACCTCAACAGGCCTCACAGCACCTCAACAGGCCTCACAGCACCTCAACAGGCCTCACAGCACCTCAACAGGCCTCACAGCACCTCAACAGGCCTCACAGCACCTCAACAGGCCTCACAGCACCTCAACAGGCCTCACAGCACCTCAACAGGCCTCACAGCACCTCAACATACACGCATATTCGCACACACCCAGACGACTTTTGAGGCGCCTCAAAGTTGCACAGACCTCACAGCACCTGAACATACCTCACAGCACCTGAACATACCTCACAGCACCTGAACATACCTCACAGCACCTGAACATACACACATATTCTCACACAACCAGCCCTCCTACCCTCTCCTCACCTTCCCTCCTTTCACCTCCCCTCCGCTCACCTCTCCCCCTCACCTCTCCCCCTCACCTCCCCCCTCACCTCCACAGTGTTGTATGTCTCACAGCATCGTCTCACAGATCTAGCCCTCTTCCCTCCTCTCACCACCTCTCCTCTCACCACCCCTCCTCTCACATCCACTCCCCTCACCTCCCCTCTCACCTCAACAGTGTTGTATTTCTCCCCCGGCCCAACCACAGCAGCCTCTCACACATTCAGCCCTCCTCCCATCCTTTCACCTCCCTTCCTCTACCTCTCCCCCTCACCTCTCCCCTTCAAACCTCCCCCTCTCACCTCAACAGTGTTGTATTTCTCCCCCGGCCCAACCACAGCGTCCGCCTTCATAGACCCTCGCGTCCCGCTCCCTCCTCCTCCCCCCGAACCTCCGCCATTTCCGCTTCCCCCTCCTCCCCCTGAACCTCCACCATTCCCGCTCCCCCCACCTCCCCCCTTCCGCTTCCGCTTGTGGTGCCCCACCCCCGAGGGGTGGTGCGCGCCCCTGCGCCCGTTCCGCCACAGGTGCGTGTGGTGCCCGCGCGTCACTCCCCCTCCCCCCTGCCCCTTCCCCTCCCCCCAGTGATTCGGCTGCTTCTCCTTATGCGCGGGCCCCGTACCAGGCGCGTGGTGCAGGGTTCCGGGGGAGTGGTGCCCCGCGGTGGGGAGGTGTTCTGCGGTTTTCTTCCCCATCGTCGTCGCTAGGGGGATCGGCGCGCGCTGCGTTGAATGGTGCGTGGGGATGGGGGGAGGACGGACGGAACGGGGGCTAGAAAGGGGGTAGGCGGAAAGGGGAATAAGGCTCTTCCGCGGGCGCGCTTGCGCCTGTAGCTGTTGCGCCTGTAACCATTGCGCCTGTAGCCCTTGTGCCTGTAGTCCTTGCGCCTGCAGCCCTTGCGCTTGCAGCCCCCTCCGCTGTAGCGCGCCTCGTCTCCGCCACGTGTGACTCTTCCGCTTCCGCCACTGCCCCACGCCAAACCCTCGTCTCCTCGTCCCCTCTGCCGCCCCCCTTTCTCCTTCCTCCCCTTCCCCGCCGTCGCTGCCCCACATCTCCGCGGGGAGCCCCAGCAGTTTGCGCCGTCTGTCCGCCCACTGCTGCGCGCGCGCGTGCTCTCCGCGCATGCGCGCCTGGAGCTCCTTCAACTGTTCGTAGAGCCCCGCCTCCAGCCACTCCGGGTGGTGGTAACCACTTGCTTCTTCGCCCACTTCGCCAACCTCACCGTGGTAACCATCCGCGCTTTCCCCAGGATCACCTCTGCTACTGTGGTAACCACCCGCTAGCGAAGCCTGTCGGGTAACATCGTCAGCGGCGCGCAGCTGCCGGTTTCGCGTGCCTGTGAAATCCCGGTGTTGGTCATCGGAATCAGGTGCCTCGCCATCGTCAGCCGCGTCAGCATTGTCAACAGAGTCAGCAGCGTTAGCAAAGTCAGCAGAGTCAGCAGAGCTGGCAGAGCCCGCAGAGTCGGCATCTTCAGAATTGTCAACATTGTCAGCAGCGTTAGCAAAGTCAGCAGAGTCAGCAGCGTCAGCGTAATAATCCAATCCATTGCCGTCCTTGTTGTTCAACGTGTCATCTTCAATAGCGGCGACTGTAGCAGCCACTTTAGCAGCATTGGTTTCAGCGACTGTAGCACCGTCAGTCGGATCGTGGTAATCCCAACGCTTCTCCTCGCTTTTACCACTAGCAGCGGCACCACTATAGTCATCTGATCCGCTTGTGTCACCACTATAGTCACTATCATTAGTAGTACTACCGAAACCGTTATCTATGTCAGCATTAGTACTTTCGAAACCGTCACCTAAGTCAGTAGCATCGCCATCCAAACCAGAGCCCTCGCTCGGACCAATATCTGTATCGGAGCCGTCGCCGTCACCGTCTGATCCGCTGTCGTAACCGTCGCCGTCATCGCTAACGTCGCCGTTATTGCCAGCGTCGTCGTAATAATCCGAGCCACTATCGCCGCTTTCGCTACCACTTGTAAGGGGGTCTGAGTCGTAACTCGCGGTGGTAACACTGCTGTGACCACCACCACTCACGTTGCTGCCTAAACCGCCGTCGCCATTGTTGTTATCATTTGGACCGCCGCCTGATGCGCTGTAATAGTCTGACCCGCTGTCATACCCGTCGCTAATGTCGCCGTTATTGTCGGTAACGTCATCGTAATAATCCGAGCCACTGTCGTCGCCATTCCTGCCAGTAGTCGGAGAATCCGGACGGTAATTCGCGCTGCTAACACTGCTGCTGCGACCGTTACCGTCAGAGTCTAAAACGCTGCCCTCGTTAGGTGAAGTTTTACTGTCACCACCAATATCAGTATTACCTTCACTAATGTTGTCCCAAGAGGTGCTGCTATCAGTAGTAGCTTGCTGGGATGTGCTGCCGCCTAGGGGCGAATCATCGAGATCATCGTACCCGCTATTGGCACGCTGCGATTCCTGGTACTCGTCACTGTAGTAATCCGTTTCGCTGTCGTTACTGCTTCTATAATCGCGATTGTACTCGTGGTCATTCCCAAGAGACAAATTGCCCTCTCCGGTTGGGGTGGACTTTTCACCCACACTGTACGACCCACCAGACGAGTGCGCCTCGTACATCGACTGCGCCTGAACCAATTTCGGCCGTTGCTCCGCGCCTTTGAACTGATTTTGCCCACCCCTTCTATCCCTACCTGTCGGGTAGTCACTGCCTCCGTCTATCGGGTCGTCATACTCGTACTCGTTATAATCATACACCGGCTGCACCTGCGACCACGCGAACTGTTGCGATTGCGCTTGGACTTCGTAACCAGTTTGCGGCTGCGTCGGGGTTTGGGGCTGGAGTCCCGTGCTATACTGTACAGCGAGATGCTGCCCCGCCTGCGCCCCTTGCGCCGCCTGTCCCGCCTGTGTTGGCCGCAGCCCCGCCTGCCCCTTCTGCGCCGCCTGCCCCACCTGTGCTGGGCGCAGCCCCGCTTGCCCCCCTTGACCCAACTGCCCCACCTGTGCTGGGCGCAGTCCCGCCTGTCCCCCTTGACCCAACTGGCCCCCCCGTGTTGGGCGCAGCCCCGCCTGCCCATTTTGCGCCGCCTGCCCTCTTCGCGCCGCCTGCCCCCCTTGGCCCGTCTGCCCCCCCTGTGTTGGGCGCAGCCCCGGCTGCGCTGTTTGACCACCTTGCCGCACCTGCCATGGTCGCAACCCCGCTGGTTGTTGCACGGGGGGGCGCAAACCCGCCCCTGCCTGTCCTGCGCGCATGCCTACCGTTTGCGCCACCTGTTGACGCTTGACCTGCTGCCTTTGCGCGGGAACACCGTACCCGGAATAGGCTGATGCGATTGTGACGGCGGCGCTTACAGTGGACTTCACTTGTGTCGATCCCATCTGCGAAACGCCAGGCATGAGAAAGAACGGAGAGACGGAAGAACGGAGAGACGGGGTTTGAGATGTTTGATTGGAACGTGGGGATGGGGATGGGCAGCAGCGACACGAATGCATGCACACATAGAACCGCACACAGAGCCTTTGCACCGATGATTTTCACCACAGCTTAGCAGCAACCGAAAACAACCCACATACGTCACGTGGCACACGAGCCCCCATACCGTAAGAATGGTTCCCAGTTCTGTTTTGAGGATCCCCGGCGCGAACTCGGCGAATCCGGTAACGCAGTTACTGAGTTTCGTCCTGATCGCCGCCAGCTGGAAGCGCAGGTCGTCCCCGCGGGTGCCTGCGCGCAGCTCCAAGTACGCCTCGCGCACCTCCTCCGCCGCGTCCGCGCCCTGGCGGACGAGGCGGTGTTGGGAGGGGAAAGGGAGAAGGGAAAAGGGTTGGGAGGTACGGGGAAGAAAGACGAGCGACACAGGAGGTGAGGGAGCGGAGGAGCAGGGTGAAATACGGGGGAGGGAATGGCGAGGGATAAGAGTTTAGTAGTGAATGATGCTGGCGATCGGGAGGTTGGCTGAGTGTTTGTAGAAAAATGAGATGTTAGTATCTGGTGAATGCAGTCATACCTGCTCAAGGCAGTCATCTGAGACAGCTCGAATGAAGTGCTGCTGACTTGGTGCGAAGCTGGAGATATTGCTCGCTTTGAGCCGTCTCACTACCCGCATCATCCCGAACACCTGTCGAAACACGCACATTGCACAGTATATTCGGAGCAACATGTTGACGATATTGGCTGGCTCAAACATGGCTAGTTGTTCACGATATTGGGCTGACACGTTGCATGTGAATGCGCGTCGTTAGTATTGCTATCACCTGCTGTTCTACGCGCACGAGCATGGCCGCAGTGACGTCCTGCTGCTGCTGCGGCATCACCCCCAGCGACCGCCGCGCGCTGCGGAACTCCGTCAAGCACTCCGCCACCCGCGGAGACCCCGCGGGCCCCGCGCATCCCGCTGGCGGGGTGATAACCAAGAAGTTGTCTAGAACGTGCCACGTGGCAGCGGCGCCCACGGCAAGAAAAACGGCTATTGCTAATCGGGGAGCGAGCTGCTCCATGCGTCCTTTTCTGACTGGACGCTGACGTGTCTGGTTCCACGTTGATCTGAATCTATAATACTAATGTGAGAAACATTTTGATTGCAAGAAGGCTGGTGGAGGAACTTATTTACGGATCGTTGGCGGATCGTACGAAATATGTCGCTTTGTATATGTGGTACAAGGTAGAGAGGTCTAAGCGTGAGCCTGTTAGCCAGTGCGCTGAGGCATCGCATACGGCGCGTGTCGCCCTCGAGTCGAGAACATGTCAAGGGTCAAGAAATACTGTACACGCCGTCAGGCACTTCGCTTCGCGTGTCTGCTCTGATTGGCAGACGACGATGCAGCATCTGAACAACTTTGATGAGTCATTCTCGCTCGCTGCGCTTTCAACGGTGGGTGGGAGAGGAAGTAGCATAGCCTCTAAACCTCTAAGAGATCTCTCCTCCCCATTCGAGTCGAGTTAGCTGGCTAGCGTTAGCAGGAGGAGAGGATAATGGGGCCAACAGCATGGTTCGTTAGTGGATATCACGGACCCAACAAGACTGACCTACAGAGATGGGTGACATGCGCTGGCGTTTTAGCCCTTCCTTTCCAACCACCTCCTACTGCACACATGCTTGAGACGCTGTGTGTGGAAGCGCGCCTCCGCCTTGCCCCAATGCCACACGAACATGCGCGCTTCGTTTGCGCGACCTGACGATTTGACATTGATTGGTGGAATTAGCCCCTGTGTGCAGGGCACATTGATCAACCCAGCGCCTTCGACGGAAAGTGATTCTTTGTTATTCTTGTTCAATTAATTCTTACAATACATATTCTGTAATACATGGCTCAGGGAGAGGTATCAAGAGGAAAAAAGGGGGAAGAGAAAGAGATGCATGTGCTGATCCTTCCCCGTTTTGAGGCTGAAAGCGCTCGTTCTGAGCGTTTTTCTTCCACCGGGTTACGTGGCTGCGCTTGACTGGTCCTATTACCAAGCCAGCAAGGGCGTGGGAGGGTTGTGAGCATCATCGGCCATCGGCGATCGCGAATGGAGAGCGCCCGCTGCACTTCCTCCACATGTGCGGATCCTTCCGAATTTTGAGGCTGGAAGCGCTCGTTACGAAAGTTTTTCTTTCACCGGGTCACGCGGCTGCGTTTGTCTTGTCCTATTACCAATCCAACAAGGGCATGGGAGGGTTGCGAGCGTCATCGGTCATCGGCGCTCGCGAATGGTGAGCGCCCGCTGCACTTCCTTCACATGTGCTGATCTTTCCGCATTTTGAGGCTAGAAGCGCTCATTCCTGGCGTTTTTCTTCCGCGGGTCACGTGGCTGCACTTCTCTAGTCTTATTACCAAGCTAGCAAGGGCGTGGGAGGGTTGCGAGCATCATCAACCATCGACGCTCGCGAATGAAGACCGCCCGCTGCACTTCCTGCACATGAGCGGATCCTTCCGCGTTTTGAGGCTGGAAGCGCTCGTTCCGAGCGTTTTTCTTCAGCCAGATCACGCGGCTGCACTTATCTGGTCCTATTACCAAGCCATCAAGGGCATGGGAGGGTTGCGAGCATCCTCGGTCATCGGCGCTCGCGAATGAAGAGCGTCCGCTGCACTTCCTACACATGTGCTGATCCTTCCGCATTTTGGGGCTGGAAGCGCTCGTTCCGAGCGTTTTTCTTCTGCCGTGTTACGCGGCTACGCTTGTCTGGTCCTATTACCAAGACAGCAAGGGCATGGGAGGGTTGCGAGCATCATTGGTCATCTGCGCTCGCTTATGGAGAGCGCCCGCACCACTTCCTGCACATGTGCGGATCCTTCCGCATTTTGAGGCTGGAAGCGCTCGTTCCGAGCGTTTTTCTTCTGCCGGGTCACGCGGCTGCGCTTGTCTGGTCCTATTACCAAGCCAGCAAGGGCATGGGAGGGTTGCGAGCATCATCTGTCATCGGCGCTCGCGAATGGAGAGCGCCCGCTGCACTTCCTGCACATGTGCTGATCCTTCTGCATTTTGAGGTTGGAAGCGCTCGTTCCGAGCGTTTTTCTTCCACTGAGTCACGTGGCTGCGCTTTTCAGGTCCTATTACCAAGCCAGCAAGGGTGTGGGAGGGTTGCGAGCATGATCGGTCATCGGCGCTCACAAATGGAGAGCGCCCGTTGCACTTCCTGCACATGTGCTGATCCTTCCGCATTTTGAGGCTGGAAGCGCTCGTTACGAGCGTTTTTCTTCCACCGGGTAACGCGGCTATGCTTGTCTGGTCCTATTACCAAGCCAGCAAGGGCGTGGGAAGGTTGCGAGCATATCGGTCATCGGCGCTCGCAAATGGAGAGCGCCAGCTGCACTTCCTGCACATGTGCGGATCCTTCCGCATTTTGAGGCTGGAAGCGCTCGTTCCGAGCGTTTTTCTTTCGCCGGGTCATGCGGCTACGCTTGTCTGGTCCTATTACCAAGCCAGCAAGGGCATGGGAGGGTTGCAAGCATCATCGGTCATCGGCGCTCGCGAATGGAGAGCGCCCACTGCACTTACTGCACATGTGCTGATCCTTCCCCGTTTTGAGGCTGGAAGCGCTCGCTTCGAGCGTTTTTCTTCCACCAAATCACGCGGCTGCGCTTGTCAGGTCCTATTACCAAGCCAGCAAGGGTGTGGGAAGGTTGCGAGCATATCGGTCATCGGTGCTCGCGAATGGAGAGCGCCCGCTGCACTTCCTGCACATGTGCGGATCCTTCCGCATTTTGATGCTGGAAGCGCTCGTTCTGAGCGTTTTTCTTCCGCTGGGTCACGCGGCTGCGCTTGTCTGGTCCTATTACCAAGCCAGCAAGGGCATGGGAGGGTTGCGAGCATCATCTGTCATCGGCGCTCGCGAATGGAGAGCGCCCGCTGCACTTCCTGCACATGTGCTGATCCTTCTGCATTTTGAGGTTGGAAGCGCTCGTTCCGAGCGTTTTTCTTCCACTGAGTCACGTGGCTGCGCTTGTCAGGTCCTATTACCAAGCCAGCAAGGGTGTGGGAGGGTTGCGAGCATCATCGGTCATCGGCGCTCACAAATGGAGAGTGCCCGCTGCACTTCCTGCACATGTGCTGATCCTTCCGCATTTTGAGCTGGAAGCGCTCATTACGAGCGTTTTTCTTCCACCGGGTAACGCGGCTATGCTTGTCTGGTCCTATTACCAAGCCAGCAAGGGCGTGGGAAGGTTGCGAGCATATCGGTCATCGGCGCTCGTGAATGGAGAGCGCCTGCTGCACTTCCTGCACATGTGCGGATCCTTCCGCATTTTGAGGCTGGAAGCGCTCGTTCCGAGCGTTTTTCTTCCGCCGGGTCACGCGGCTGCGCTTGCCTGGTCCTGTTACCAAGCCAGCAAGGGCATGGGAGGGTTGCAAGCATCATCGGTCATCGGCGCTCGCGAATGGAGAGCGCCCGCTGCACTTCCTGCACATGTGCTGATCCTTCCCCGTTTTGAGGCTGGAAGCGCTCGTTCCGAGCGTTTTTCTTCCACCAAATCACGCGGCTGCACTTGTCAGGTCCTATTACCAAGCCAGCAAGGGTGTGGGAAGGCTGCGAGCATATCGGTCATCGGTGCTCGCGAATGGAGAGCGCCCGCTGCACTTCCTGCACATGTGCGGATCCTTCCGCAATTTGATGCTGGAAGCGCTCAATCTGGGCGTTTTTCTTCCGCCGGGTCACGCGGCTGCGCTTGTCTGGTCCTATTACCAAGCCAGCAAGGGCATGGTAGGGTTGCAAGCATCATCGGTCGTCGGCGCTCGCGAATGGAGAGCGCCCGCTGCACTTCCTGCACATGTGCGGATCCTTTCGCAGGTATATATAGATCACAGTACAAGCAAAGTCAAGTGGTGAGCAACTGAGGCAGGTAGGCACAAGACCTAACAGAGTACAGAAACGCTGATGATCACAAGGCTGAAGTGCCTTGGTAAAGATATCAGCAAAGTTGGCCCGAATGGCCACGTAAGCAATACGAAGCTGACCACGCTGCTGCAACTCTCGAGCAAGGAAGTAGCGTAGAGCGATGTGCTTCGTTCTGTGCTCCAGTCTGTGCTCCTGGCACAAGGCAATTGTAGCCTTGTTGTCGACGTACAGAACTGGAGGAGAACGAGGCGGCTCTCCCAGGTCGGTCAGCAGGTAGGTGAGCCAGCGTAACTCCTGTGCAGCCATGGCCCCTGCGTAGATCTCAGCCTCACAACTGGAGCTGAGAACAGAAGACGGGCGGGTAGACCGCCACGAAACAGAGCCAGAACCAAGGCTGAAGGTGTAACCCTGTGACGACCGCTGCGTAGCCAAGTCGTCAACCCAAGAGGGTCTGTGTGACCAGTGAGGACAACTGGACCCCGTCCTCCAAGCACGAGCCCCATGCTCGACGTACTGCACAGGTAGCGCAACACCCCCTTAGCTGCATCTATGTGCTCTGGTCGGTGTCTCCCAGGAGCAACATAGCGTGCCAGGATGCTAAGAGGGTATGCGAGGTCAGGTCGAGTGCAGGCCATCAGGTACATGAGGCAGCCCACAAGCTCTGGGTACGGGCCACTCAGCTATACGGACTCATCCGAAGGCAGAGCTGAGAGCGATTGGCGAGTAGACAGAGGAGTGGACTGAGGCGAGGAGTACGTGAAGTTGAAGCGCTGAAGGACCTGCTGCACCATGTGTGACTGAGACAAGGTAATGGTGCGCCGTGCTCTGTCCTGGGTGATCTGCAAGCTAAGATAGTGGGTGTCCCAAGTCTATGCACGTGTGTCTCTTCTGCAGCTCCGACTTCACGTGGGCTAGTCCAGCAGTGTCAGCAGTAGCAAAGACCAAGTCGTCGACGTACATGAGGATGTAGAACGGCGGCAGAGTAGTGTCGGTGCGTAGAAACAGCGACGGGTCAGCAGTGGAAGGAGCAAACCCAAGAGCCGCAAGAGTAGTCCTCAGTGTGCCGTGCCACTCACGGGGCGCCTGGCGGAGACCGTAGACTGGCCGCCGGAGGCTCCACTGGGTACCAGGAGGAAACGACCCAGTCAAGCCAGGTGGGCGGCGCAGCCAGATCTCCTCGTG